CACCTTTGCCGAAGACATAGCTTCTTTGGGTTTTGGTATTTTGTACGATTATAGAGGTTTATTGATTATTAAACTTGCCACTAGCGTGGCCAAAATTATTCCAAAACCAATGTCTCCTGTCTTCTCTTTCGCAAACTAGTGCGTCGCGATGCAAGGCTTGGACGGTAGTTAACTTTAGTCTAAATAMATTTATAGAATGTTTCGACATAAATTTTAATATTTTTTCCTTCGAAAAAAGGCATATATTTTACTTATGTATGCCGTATGCAAGGATGATCAGGAGTGAACAAGAAACAGCAGTTTAACTACTCCAGATCTAGAATTCGTCACCATCCTGTTATTCAGTGTTATAATTGTGATTCGTTTGTTTGTTTGTTGGTTTTTGTTTTGTTTTGTTCTTGTTTGGGTGGTCGTGGCTGATGAAGTCTAACCGTAATCAGCTCCGAGACGAAAAGATTTTTAAAAGATAATTTCTTATATAGCAATGAAGATGCTACGTTGGTTATTGATAACAATCCTATGGTCACGTGTCTCCCAGTTGAATGGACTCAAACGTAAGTAAGCATATACAACCTCATTCTCCCTCGCAGCCGTCTTAGTGTCGTTCCATTCCCCTACGGTCCACTTTTCTCTCTGGACTGTAGGGGGATGGAACGAGACTAAAACGGCTGCGAAGGCATTATCATTCCGAGATCCTCCTCGGTTGTCGTTCCTCCCCGTCAGAGGCTCTGGGAAACTCTACAACCGAAAGCAAGGAATATTGCGACCACGTCCTCACTGCGCATGCCTGAACTCTTTCTAAGACAAGCCAAGACAAGCATGGACAAGCCGTTGTTTTTCTTAAAAGCCAATAAAATTGCGAGAATTTGTAGGGTTTTCCAGAGACTCTGACGGGGAGGAACGACAACCGACATCTACTTGAAATCAGATGTTTTGCAAGATAACGATAGTAATACCATAGAAAATAGTATTAATTTTCAGATTGTCCGATTAGTAACGCTCAAACTGTCTTCCCATGAGCTTCTTCCTTTCTCGTGGATTTTTGTATTCATCATTAAATAGCTTGGAATTCACTGGCCCTCCAAATTCAGACCTATAAATGTTTAGTATATTGTTTTTATTTTATTCTTGTTTGTGGCGTTGATACTCAGTTCTATGTTTTGGTTCAAGCGAGTAGTATAACTGGTTCCCTTCACGCTCTAGGATGACAGTTTTGAAAGGGAGTATAATTCCCTGACTGACGATTAAAACTGTCATGTCCTGAGCCACTTCTTTTCTCGTGACTATGTTTGCTGTGCTCTGTATTCATTAGCCTGCTTTTATTGTATTACGTCATTTTGTGCACAATGGGAATTAATTAGCAGCTCGGTTCAGCTAACTCTAGTTTTGTGCCAGATCACCAAGCGTAAACACAATCGAGTCTGGAAAGCAGGCTATGTATTCATTGTTCGGTTAGATTAAAATTCACTCTAGATTAGTTCAAATCAATACTGAATGTTTACTTTATTTATGTCTATTTTCTCCGTCCAGTGTTATCCACGCATCAGTCCCGGTTGTTTGATGTCAGTGATTAGCCATCGCACAGAATTGATTGACACATCCGGGAAATTAGAGAATAAATTACTAGATTCCACTTTCCAAATATCAATCTTCCTCTCACGGCCAAAGTCATAATATTGAAAGTTTCATAGGAATATAGGAATATTAGAGAATGACAACCATACAATATAAGCTTACCATTTATTTTGGTGATTCAATTTGCCAACATGCGATTTTTTGTGGGTCAATTTCAGTTTTCGTAGTGTTTATATGTATGGAAATTTATCATTTCTAAACTTTGTTCGGGTCCTGCTGGTCGTCGTGAAGAAAATCATTCAAAGTAACAACTGAAATTGGTTTCCCAAGCATTACTTAATTGCTTCCAAAATCCAGCTCTCTTTGAGGGCTGAAAGCAAGTAGCGATTTTTCAGGAGTTTTACCTTTGACCCAACAAGCAAGACAGTCCAAAATGACGAATTTCCAGAAATTTTTTGATATAAGAAATCATCCTTCTACCGCCATTTGTATAGCCCTAGAAACCTGGCCTCTATATTGCTCAATATCCATAATTTCGTCTCCAGATCACCCTTTAAAATGGACAAATTTGTTCGCGAACTCAGCATATATTTTGGTACTGGTTCGATACGCTATCCGAGTGGAGACTGGTACCTACATTGAAGAAAATGCCCTCGAATTTTGTTTTAAAAAATATTCTTAATCGTTTTTTCCAACTTCTTTCAAATTCTTTTAATAGTATGAAGATATTGCAGTGTGTCTTTAAAAAAGTGCTTTCCCATTCTTCACATAATCTCTCTCATTTGAAAATGACCAGAGTTGATGGGCAATAGACCCTTTTCGAGTTCCAAAATACCGCTGTGTTTCCTGATTACAGACTCATTTACTCAGGCTTAGCCTCGTATCAGTGTCTAATTACTCGCAAATACCAATGGTAAAGTAAAGAATGCACAACTTCAACAATACGAACACTTTGAAACTTGATGGATCTTGACTGGAACACGTGAATATTCTTCACAAAATCAAGGCTAAGCCTAAGTAAATAAGTCTGTAATCAAGAAACACAGCGGTAATTTGGAACTCGAAAAGGGTCTATTCTGTGCGATGCTCAGACTCCCCTTGTACAGCAGAGCCTTACTCCCAAATAATTTGTTTTAGTTTTGGGTTTCCAAGCATTACCAATCAGCGATCGACAAGGATGTAAGATGCGATTTTTCCGAAAACTCAGCTAAACTCGGTTTAAGTTTAAAAAGCAAATAAAATGAGCAACATCAGTACGGAATAGAATAGAAAAATATTATAAAACCTAACAAAAATGTATGTGTAGCTCCTTAAAGGTAGATAAACCTGATGTTCTTTTTCAGTTCTCAAAAGCAACAAACTGATTCCCACAGAAACTGCTTTTTAAAATTCAGTTAATTTGAATCCTATCAAATGAGAATCCATACTTTACAACTCACTTACCACTGGGGTCTTTCATTTACCCGAAAAAACCGGAAATTCCATTTGGAAAAACCGAACAATTTTACCATTAGCAAACGAATTTCAACCGAATCGGTCCATTATCAAGAAAGTATTATATTTCAGTAGAAATTTCCATACAGTTTGTACTATATTCTAAAGTGTTCTTGCTTGCAATATATTATATATAATTTCTTCCCAAACACAAACACTGATAACAAGGGGGAAATGATTGATCGTTTCATTCCTTTGGACTTTAGACTGTCAAGGAAAAAAGATATGATTTAAGGTAACTGGCTTTTTTTGAAAAAAAATTAATGCTGATTACAAATATGAAAAAAATGGGTTGACACAAACTCGTTTTCGAGATAATCAGCAAGTAATGGTTGACTACGGGAGAGTTTTTGAATCAAAAATTGCGCCACCAGAAATTATCAGAAATAATTAAATTAAAACTAATAAGATAATAGTTATTTGCAAACTTTATAATTGCACAAATGCGGGCTAGTGAATATCTTTCTCCTGCAATACTACATGGACATTTTTAACAAAAGGACAAAGAAATACATACAATACTCATTGATGTTCAGAACGCGTATGGTCCTTCAATAAAATGTTGAAGGTTTTTCAGCGGTTTTGGTGCTCGCGCTTATCGTGGCATGCGGGGCTCAAACCGAACGTTCAAAAGTAGGCAGTCGCCTCAACGTGGCCCATCATCAGGGTAAAATGAAGCACTGACATAAACGCGACGAAAAAACTCACTGTGGAAATATATGAGAGTTAGTTAACATATTAGTCACTTCACTTCAAACCTGGATTCGATCTACTCCGCAGACGTTGCTCTGTTTTTTCCCGCCTTGCAAAAAGCGAATCAACCGACCACAAGTGTATGCAATGCCTTTTAGTCCGCCATATTGCCCTCGATTATATGTTGACGCTATTTTTGGCTTGCGGCCTGCTACCGAAAGCTGCGACATTATGATTAAACTTGCTTCTTTAACTATTAATGTTTTCAATAACTGAGCTTTTTGATACATGGCCCATCATCAGGGTAAAATGAAGTACTGACCTAATCGTTACAAACGACTATGACTGTGAATATTGTAAGTATATCGACCCTCCCCCTACATTTTAAGGTGTTTCACACAGTTGTGACAAACGTCCCACGTTTGAATGAAAAAACTGTCTATTGCCATGCTTCGGGAGTAAATCAGAAAGCGGACAAGCGAGATCAGACCGCGCATGGTGCGAAAGAATTTGGTGTTATGATCATTAGCAAACAATAGAATTCSCAGAGCATCAAATCGTTGGGAAACGATCAATGTTTTCTGTATTACTCGTTCGCTTTAGACCGCTTTAAATGAGTTCAATAGTCTTGCAATTTTATGTTAGTTTAAAGTTCTAATTTGTATCCTGAAAAGATATAACTAGCTAAAAACTAGTGTGAGCTGCGTCGGTGTTTCTAATGAAACAGTAATGATGAAAAGGTAAATTAT